AAGGATACTCTTTCCACCATTTTCTGTAGAGAACACAAAAAAACATTTTGTACAAAGTTTGAAAAATTGAAAAATTACGTATTGCAGGTAGAATAAAATTCAAGAACTTTTCAAGGAGTTTCAAGGCCATGAATCGGAAAGTTCAAGAGCAAAGGGCTAAAAAGAAGGCGCTAGAAATTGTTACTGTAGTGAACTGTAAGACATGGACAGAGTCAATTCAACAAAATGTACGTTTTTAATGTCAAACAATTTCAGAAAATAAACAAAAACTAAAGCAACAAAAATTATAGATTTTCAAAAATTATAGATTTTCAAAAATTATAGATTTTCATGAACTATCAAGGCCTTGAATTTTTGTTTTGAAATGCAAGGACTTTCAGGGAGTCTCAAGTTTTGTATAAAAACTGTACTTCTCTCCAGCCAGCGGAAACGACCACATTTTTCATGTACCTTTAATCAAATCTCAGCACTGTATTACCTTCATCAACGCCAGAAACAAAGACTTTTCCAAAATGACACCACAAGTCAACTATCATGTGTTTCTCTTTCTCTGATTTGTTCAAAATTTCTAATGGAGTGAGTAGACACTTTTTAATTTCTGTGATTGTCTTGTCACTGATTTCGCCCTGAAAAAAGATATAAAAAATCGGTGGTTACTACTGTGTTGTGATCCTATGTATAGAAAGATATATCTTATTAAAGTTGAAGACGGAGTATCCAATGTGCAAATTACCACCTGCAGGTCAAGCAGAACATATAAGACATTATTAAATAAAAGAATTAAAACAAAAAATTGTTAATAAATTAAATTTTGTGTGTTGCACATGGGAATATACAAAGTAAACCTTCAAAGTAACTTTAGCATGCAATACCAACGTGCATTTTTTTGTGTATCATAAATATCATAAAATATATATATATATATATATATATATATATATATATATATATATATATATATATATATATATATATATATATATATATATATATATATGTATATATGTATACTTAATACCATAGTTGCCTCGAAATCCTTTGTCTCGCGAGGTACGATTAATCACTAATTTACCTCATTACCCATGCATACGCTTTTGTCTTCTAAATCTCCCTCATCAAGCATGCAAGGGAAAATTAGAAGACAAAGAAATCCTTTGTTTTCAACTAAATTTACCCGGGAAATTTAGTTGAAAACAAAGGATTTCTTTGTCTTCTAATTTTCGCCTGCATGCTTGATGAGGGAAATTTAGTTGAAAACAAAGGATTTCTTTGTCTTCTAATTTTCGCCTGCATGCTTGATGAGGGAAATTTAGAAGACAAAAGCGTACCTCATTACCTCTGATTGGAGAGCTGTACCTCATCGAAAATCATCGGCACAACTATGGACAGTATCTGACGACACCGTCCCGTACGCATTCGAACAATCACTTTGCCAGCTTTTATTCCCTAATCTTGAACATTACATTTGTGGGACAAAATTCCGTTTATGCGTATCCCTAAAACGAATGAACACGGAGATGTGTTTCTGCGCGTGCGTATATATGAAAAGTGTTCGTACCACAATCATAAGACAATCAAACAGCATTCAAAACAGGCAACACACCACGCGCGATTCCCTTGGCAACTATGATATTACAAAGTAATAGCATGGCATTACGGTCGATTAGTGATGAAAAGTCCCTCAAGCCTCGAGAGGTTCAGTAAACGTACCTCGGCGCTACGCGCCTCGGGACTTTTACCAAACCTCTCTCGGCTTTCGGGTACAATTTAATCACTATTCTCAACACTCGTAATGATATGCGAAAACAAATTAAGGCTAAAACAAAGTTGTTATGAAACGTATTGCATACATTATGTGCATGGATGACTGATGTAGCTATAAAGGTGCGGACAACACCCAGACGCTCGCTCTTGTTCAGTTCCACATTTTGAGAGGCAAGTGGCAAACGAAAACAGCACGACTCACCCGAATTTGTTCACACCCTTGTCGTTTATAATGGGTATTCACCACATATTTGGCATACTTCTGCTTGATTATACATTACATAGTTATGAAGAATAGGCGAGAATTCGCCAAGGACGGGTTTTCGTCAGGAACATGTGGGTGAGAATTCGCCAATGACGAGTTGTCGTCATTTAAATGTGGGCGAGAATCGCCAAGAATAAGATTTCGTTCTTAACATGTGGGCGAGAATTCGCCAAGGACGAGCTTTTGTTAGTTAAATGTGGGCGAGAATTCGCCAAGGACGAGATTTCGTCAGTACAATCTGGGCGAGCAGTCGCCACGGACGAGATTTCGTCAGTACATTGTGGGCAAGAATTCGCCAAGGACGAGATTTCGTCAGTAAAATGTGGGTGAGAATTCGCCAAGGACGAGAGTTCGTCAGTCAAATGTCGGCGAGAATTCGCCCAGCACGAGATTTTCGTCAGTAAAATGTGGGCGAGAATTCGCCAAGGACGAGATTTCGTCACTAAAGTATGGGCGAGAATTCGCCACGGATGAGATTTCGTCCGTAAATTGTGGGCGAGAATTCGCCAAGGACGAGTTTACGTCAGTAAAATGTGGGTGAGAATTCGCCAAGGACGAGAATTTGTCAGTAAAATGTGGGCGAGAATTCGCCAAAGACGAGATTTCGTCAGTAAAATGTGGGCGAGAATTCGCCAAGGACAAGATTTCGTCAGTAAAGTATGGGCGATAATTCGCCATGGATGAGATTTCGTCCGTAAATTGTGGGTGAGAATTTGCCAAGGACGAGATTTCGTCAGTAAAATGTGAATAGAATTCGCCAAGGACGAGATTTCGTCCGTAAAATGTGGGCGAGAATTCGCCAAGGACGAGATTTCGTCAGTAAAATGTGGGCGAGAATTCGCCAAGGACGAGCTTTCGTCAGTAAAGTATGGGCGAGAATTCGTCACGGATTAGATTTCGTCCGTAAATTGTGGGCGAGAATTAGCCAAGGACGAGATTTCGTCAGTAACATATGGGCCAGAATTCGCCAAGGGCGAGATTTCGTCAGTCACATGTTGGCGAGGGTTTGCCAAGTACTAGATTCGTTGGTAAATGTGGGCGAGGATTCGCTAACGGCGAGCGTTCGTTAGTAAATTGTAGGCGGCGTTTCGCCCAGGTCAAACAAACGGTATTATATTTATATCATTTTCTGTATTATGCTATCTCGACTTTGAAAGCCGAGTTCAAGGCTTTGCGGCAAAGCGTTGATGTGTTTACTAAGGCAACTGTGGAGAATGTGATTATTAAGATTATGACGTACGCTTCACGTCCGTTGTCCGAGTTTAATAAATTCGAGGCTTTGGACATGGTGGAAAATTTGAATAATGTCTCGCAAGAACAGAAACATGCGAAGCATGCGAATCACCGTATGGTCTACCAAACGTTACGTGCCAAGATGTCTGTCTCGACGGAGCAATTTCGTAGTTTACTCTAGCGTTTGTTAGGTGATAAAGATCATGAACGTATCTTTGATATTGTCGCCAAAGTGGACAAGCGATTTCAGAGTCGTTCTCGCGAAATACCACAAGGATCTAATGTCAACACTTCAAATCGCCTTTTTCCATATCGTCGAAATGTTGGGAGATGCTTTTATTGTCAGCGATTTGGACATTTTCAAGCTCAGTGTATACTCAAGAAACGTGACGACGAAACCCGTCGCAGAACGCCACCAGTCTCTGACGCCTCCTCATCACAGGCAAAATGAACTGTGCTATTGTGCGTCATGTGTTGTGTGGTTTCTGTAGTTAGCATCTAGACACAAATGTCAGACTTTAATACACTATTTGTGTGGATTGATGACTTATATGTCTCGATAATAATTTAAACATGACGAGAGTTGTATTATGATAATTTGTTATTTATTGTTGCACATATTATTTTGATTCACTTTTTTTTTTGGGGGGGGGGAGGTTTTATTAGTTGTTTTTCCATTGCTTTACTACAGTCCTAGGATATGAAAGCTTTGAAAAGGGGTATCTCAATCAGCCCTCACTGCGTTCGCGGGGTCGTTGCGATCATATCCTTGCCGACTTGTTGGGGTCTGCTTTAGGCATTGTTGATTGTTTGTTCCTGTTTTAGATACTGTTACCTCACCCAGGTACGGCCAGTATTATATTTGACTGCGAAGTAAATGAATCGATCCGGCAGAACTGTGTGTTGCGCTGGGTCAATGCTCTTGGGGACCCCATTTCTGTCGGTGAGGGTATGACGCCCAATCATTCTCTTGTCCAGCAATGTGGAAAATGGTATCGCTATTGGGGATGTCAACACATTAGCCATACGAGATCCACAGACTTTTCACGCCGGGGAACTTCATCGTTATGCACAGTTTTGGACATAGATTGCGGAGAGAAATTCTTCCCACGATCATCAGGAAGTTTTAAATTGGATTAACAATCAGGTTTCCGTTTTTCCCTATTTTCAGCATTTTAAGGGAATTTTTCAACAAGAGTCTAATGATTCCGATTTCCCACCGAAAAGGTTTCCAAATAATAAGATATGTGCACAGTTTCGGGATTTTATTGGACAGCCCATCGTTGAGCGCCTTGTAATAGGTGCTTTCAAATTAATTGGGCGGGTTGGTGAGGCTGAACCTCCTCATCTAGTGCTGCCTCTCACCGTTGAGCCCCGCAAGCCACGTCTTTGTTATGACGCGCGTTTTCTCAATCTTTGGATGAAAGATAAGCCGTTTAAGTTCGATTCCTTGCGAGACCTTCCGCGTTATGTGAGTAACGATTCTTACCAAACTGCTTTGGATGACAAATCCGGATATGATCATATTTTCTTGACGGGATAAACGTTTAGGTTTAGGTAATCCTGCTGCGGATAGATCCGTTGAAGATTATCTCCGTCTAGTGACTGCCGAACAGTTACAAGCAGGGACTACGCCCCAGCAAGCTACCCCATTTTTGTCAACAAGTTAACTCAGTTGTCTTTGCATCTCCAGCGGAAGTTGGAGTCTTCTAAATCACAAATCGAGCGTTTTCTAGTGGCTCGCGATCAGGCCTATTTCAAAATGGCGTTTTTTTAGTGGTGATAGGCCTGGCGACCTTGGCCAGGTAAAAGTTCCAGAAATCCTGCGCTTTCCCAATGATGATGGCATGCTTTTCAATCATATTTGGGGCAAGACACTGCGTGATGGTGATTAGAATGTCTTTGGTGTACGTCGCAATCCACATACGACGATTTCTCCAATTCGTGGTATTGAGCAATACATGGATGTTGCTCGTCAAATGAAGGTCGACCTCACTCGCGGGTATCTCTTTCGACTGACGACCCCTGAAGGAGGCATTCAGGATTCTCCATTTACGTCTTCTGCCGCAGAAGCCCGCTTGAAACTTTACTTGGGGTACACGGGGTCTGATGAGGGAGAGACGTTGCATGGTTTCAGAGCTGGTTGTGCTATTACTCTTGCGCTTACTGGTGCCGATTTGTCGGAAATCATGCAGCACGTGGGTTGGGCACGCCGTCATACAGCTCTGCATTATATGCAATTTACTAAGGTCTTGCATCCAGAGGGTGCTTCAGCTCTTTTAGCTTCTGGCAATGCAGGAAATGTGGTCAATCCATGGCAAGATGTAAATCACTTACAACGATTTGTGTCAGCGTTTCCTACGAACATCACTAACATTTCCTAAAGTAGCCCTATTGAAACGCTACCGTACATGTTCAAATATCTCTGTTTACTTCATATCGTAATTGTGCTTGATTTTCTGTACTATCTATGTTGGTATCTTTGTATATTGCTGGAATAAAACAGCAAACGGAAAATGAGTTTGGGGGAATTAAGGAATGAGTATTGGGTTAAGTGTATGTATAGGATGTTTTATTTAGGTGTAGGGATGGTAAAAGACTGCCCACACGAACAGGAGATACCAGGTTAGGCAGTGACGCTGATCAATATTGCCATACCTTATCAAACTGAGCATGAATGCGAGTGTTGAGAAATAGTATACTATTCTCAACACTCGTAATGATATGCGAAAACAAATTACGGCTAAAACAAAGTTGTTATGAAACGTATTGCATACATTATGTGCATGGGTGACTGATGTAGCTATAAAGGTGCGGACAACACCCAGACGCTCGCTCTTGTTCAGTTCCACATTTTGAGAGGCAAGTGGCAAACGACCCACCCACCCACCCACAAATTCAAATGAGTCGTGCGCCGCAATTCTAAGCCAAGCTTTCAGCTTGGCTTAGGACGCTGATCAAAATTACCATACCTTATCAAACTGAGCATGAATGCGAGTGTTGAGAAATAGCATACTAATCGCTCTGAATGCCATGCTATTACTTATAATAAATTCAGTTATTTTAAACCCTTTCGTAACCTAGCTACTTGACGCGCATACACCAGAGCGCCGGTCTTGTTAATAGACGAACGTAACAGGCTAGACTGACGGAATTCCTAATTATTTGTATACATCGATATACTGTGGAGTTATGTCGCTTGACTAATTATATTACGCAATGAACGCAATTCTACATTACTACATTACTAAATTAATTATCATATATTATCGTTTCCAAAATTACTATATTACTATATTAACTACCGCAATTGTGCGAAACTGCACATCCATGCTTGAAACATAAAATTAATAAATTCACCACCATTGAATAGTATACCCTTGCGAAAATAACTATATTATATTGCTATTTTAAAACTATTTTATTACTATCATCCCTATTTTTATGCTATTTTATTCAGAGGCAACCCTATTTTAATTCTATCATAATATTTCACTAAAAGAAAGAGCCATATTTTATTAATGTTTTATTTTATTTTATTCCTATTTTTATAGATAATAGAAATAAAATCGCATATTTTAATACTATTTTCCAGAGCCTCAAAGAAAAAATAGGTTTAAAATAGCCTATTTAAATTCTATTTTACTTTACCAGAAAGCAGTTAGAAATTAAAATAGATATAAAATACACTATTTTTAAACTCATAAAATAAAATAGGCTGTTTAAATCCTATTTTACATTGGAAGTTAAATGCACAAATTTCAAACAGGAACAAAATATACTATTTTAATCCTATCTTTCTTTCATAGTTAGCAAAATAACAATAAAATAGACTATTTTAAACATATTTTGCACGTGCAGAATATTACATAAATTAAAATAGATATAAAATATAGTATTTTAAAGCTATTTATTTTTCAGAATACGCAAAACAGAATAAAATAGACTGTTTTAAACCTATTGCACATTTTTAAAACTGCCACATTTTTCAAATAGGGATAAAATATACTATTTTAAACCTATTTACTTTCCCTAATTTGCAAAATATAATAAAATACACTATTTTAATCCTATTTTACATTTACCGGGATTCCGGATTACAATTTGCAGATATGTATAAAATAGTCTATTTAAATTAAAACATTCTGAATTTTCCTAGTTAGCAAAATGAAATAAAATAGAACCGTATTTTATAGTTACACAGATAAGGGACCAATCATTAATAATGGAAGGGGGGTGAGGGGCGGAGGGTGAGAAAAGGGGGAGGCTTCAACTGTTGCCTACACTGGTCATCCCATGCAGTGCTTCCACTTGCAAGGACATTTCTTTCATTTCGTACTATTTTTTACCTATTTTATGTATATTTAAAATCTATTTTATTACCAATATTTCACTTTACTTTATTATTTTATTTCTATTTTGCACTCTATTTTAAATATATTTTATCCTATTTTAAACCTATTTTAATCTGTGCTTCACCGATTCAGAAAAATAAAATCTATTTAAAATAGGCTATTTTTTGTTTCAAAAAAACCTATTTATAATAGCTATAAAATACAATTAAAACAGAGTTCTAATAGGTTTAATATAGGATTTGTATATGTGATAGCAATATGATAGGGTTAAAAATAAAATAGCTTTTCTATAGGAATAAAATAGAATTAAGTAAAATAGGGATAAAATAGGGTTAAAATAGTGTTGATTTTCGTAAGGGTAATATACGACTTTGTTTTTAATTAGTTTCTAATATTTAATCATAAAAAGAGCTGACAAAAGATCTGCGGTTTTATTAACATTAATGTAAAGTACCTGAGAGTCATCGTCAGTCTCAGATTTAATTCTATATCTTGGTCCTTGAATGAAACCATCCAGTTTGGGAGCACGTCCATCTGGCATTAACTTAAAGTGTTCACTTTCATCTTTGAAGTCGAAGCAAACAAATTGCGTCTTGCCTCCAGATCCATATCTAATGTCCTTATTGGCGATCTTGTCCTTATAGGAGGTCTTAAATTGTAAATTTATTCATTTTAGTATTTAGTATCAATTTTGAAATAATTTAATTCATATCAATCATGGACAAGAAAAAGAGCTTACTAGACGCTGTCCGATAAGGCAATGTGCTCGGTTGCAGTTTTTTAGTGGTCCAGTTATTTCCAATCTGGTTATATCTCCACCTTCAACTTTAGTTAAAGAAAGAAAGAAATAAGTAATGGTATGTGAGATGCTGATAAATTTGGATTGCATTTGTTAGTATTGAAACCCCGTCAAACAATCTAAGGAAATTGGGCATTTTCTGAGTCCTCTTGAAACCCCTTTTTGCATTGGCATATCATGCATGCACTCAGATTTTTCTCCCAGATAAAACATATACCAAAATCTTCCTTAAAGGGGAACTCCAGTCCCAAAACAAGTTGAGTTTAAATAAAATATTATACCTTTAATAGATTGTTCCGGAAGTATCTCGGTCCAAATCGTTTTAGTAAAGGAGAAATCGCTCATAAAAGTGCGCGAATTTTGCAAATTTCGACGCCATGTTGTTCTTTTACGTGCAGGCGCGAATTTGGTCAGCGCCATTATTTGTGACGTCATTGCGTGCTTCTTGTGTCGCGGGAATTTAAAATAATAGTGGCGCGCTATACTATAACCTGAAATTTACAGAATTAAAAGTTTATCAGTATAACAAAAAATGCCGCATTGTACTGTGCCTTTGTGCACAAATGGCAGTCGAAAGACCAAAGGAACAGATATAAGTTATCATAGGTTGCCAAATGGGCCGCTCAGAAGTGTTTGGTTGCGTACTTTACGTCGAGAGAACCCTCGTGAGCGTGCGAATGCGTATGTCTGCAGCGCATATTTTGCACCTGATTGTTTTGAACCGAATGCTGAAGTAATTCCTGGTTTCAAGAAACGTAAAACGCTGAAGCCATCAGCAGTGCCAACTATGTTTGCTTTTCCAACGTAGGGCAACGAAAACAAAACAAGATTGTCAAGTGTGAAACAAACACGAAATCGGACAAGAAAGGTTTGGAGATTCTTGTCTCATATACTGTATGGTATTTCATTTACTAATCAATATACAAACAATCCTGGCGCTTTGTGAACAAAATGTATACACAATGATGTAAATCTTGTTAATATAAGAATATAATTTTAATATACATTTGAAGAATACTTCAAAAACAAAGTTTGTACAAATTCATTATCTAGTACTATTACATTAATTGTAACTTAAAGTTTGCAAAATTGAGGTAATTATTTCGCTCTATATAAAAAGAATGTGCCAAATAACATGTTTTATTTTAATTTGAAATTTTAATTAAACATTTTTACCCATGAACTGGTTACAATTTAGCATTTGGAAACTTTAGGATATTGTTGTATTTTGCCAGGGGTCATTAATATTCATGCTAAACATAAACCAGTCAAATATTCTGTTTTACTCGTTAATATTATCAAGGTTGCAAAAACATTGGAACAAGACACATTTGTTCTGGATGGAGAAAGTTATTATGCAAATGAAAATATAGAAAGTTCAAATGCTGATGTGGAACAAACTACCTGTACTTCAACTCGACATATTGAACTACGACACAAGATAAAGAGGTTCAGGTTCAACCTTTTATTAAAACATTTAAGACTGTTGGAACCGAAACTGAACATTTACACATGCAAGGAAATACAAAAATACACCCTGATGACATCACCAAATTATGTCATTTAGAAGATCACAGTTACTCGTAGGGCCCAAATAATAATTCTTCAACAGATGACAATAAAGACACGGTGGAACTATGTACTATAATGTATCTCTTTAGTACAAGCTGTACAGTATAAAAATGTACTTTATTGCCTTCAATATCAAAACCCTATTTTTTTACACGTGGTTTCTTTCTGATACCTAAATATATATTACATCACGTGACATGACGTGACTACATTACATCCCTCCTTTTCTTCAAAATAACTCATTAATGTTAATTGCTGTTTATTGAATATTACCTTATAAAGCCTACGTGTCCGCTTTACCAGTAATTATTTTACTAGTTTTAACATGTCTAACTTCTATAAAAATCCGGTGGTCTTCGATTTTGTCTAAGACAATACCTTCGTTGTAGATCTGGTAGATCTTGTTGTTGCTCTTCAACTATTGTTGGTTGCTGGTTTTCTACTATGTCGTCGTCAAAATCGTCTTCTTCATCATTCTGGTCTTCCTCACTTGCGTTCTTGTAATTTGTGAGACATTAGAAACACGATACATTCCGGGTTACGGTGCGCTCTGTATTACGAGCTGTTACCATGTTGCCTTTGATTTCAATCACTTTAAATGGTTTTGGATTGAAAGGCATTGATAACTTATTGCCCTTCGGGACTTGCATTAGCACATAATGACCAATTTTCAACTGACTTTCTTTCGCGTTGTTTCTTCTATCAGCATGGACTTTCATTTTCTCCTTTTCCTCCTTATCTCGAACAACGTGGTGTTCCACAGGGCCATCATTGTGTTGTAGGGATAAGAAACTAGGAAGCTTATTTCTCATTGTGCGATTGAACAAAAGTTCAGCTGGACTAAGGTGTGTCGTAGAATGAGGTGTGGATCTGTAGTTGAGAAGAAAAAGATCTAATTCACTTTGCCATCTTTTTCCTTCCGAATGAGCAGTACGGATTGCTTTTGTTACTGTTTTCATGAATCGCTCTGCCTCACCGTTGGCTTGAGGCCAATAAGGTGTGATTCGGCGGTGATGGACTCCATGTGCAGCTAGGTATTCGGTGAACTCAACCGCATTGAACGGGGGTCCGTTATCGATTATCAATTCTTCGGGATATCCATGTCGGGCAAAGATTCTTTGGAGTTTGGAGATCACAACCGTGGTTGTCGTGCTTTGCATCACTTCAACTTCTGGATATCTGGAATAGGCGTCAATCACGACCAACAATTTCTCGCCATTTAGGATTGGACCACAGAAATCTGCATTAAGTGTGTGCCAAGGATGTGGAGGTAACTTTGTCATATTCAGGGGTGGTTGACATTTTGGTGACTGGTGTACTGCTGCTTGGCAGGGTACACATTCTTTAACCATTTGCTCCACTTGCTTGTCAATACCAGGCCACCATACTTTACTGCGTACAAGCATTTTAGTTTTAACTATCCCTTGATGTCCTTCATGAGCGATAGAAAGGACACGACTACGGAGACTCTTTGGGATAACGATCTGTGAATATCGCAGTATAACTCCACATTCCGAAACTGTCAACTGTTCGTGCTGATTACGATATGGGCTTAAACAACTATCTGTTTTGTTCCATCGATCTTCCTTTACTGCGCTAGTTACTCTCTGCAGTTCAGGATCATTTAACGTTGCGATACGAATCTCATCGAGCGTGAGAAATTTAGGAAATTTAGGAACGAGTGACTTTGGATGAAATTGACATATTTCTCCGCTATGGTACTTGACTTGTAGTTGGTGAATAAAGGTTGTCGAGACAACACGTCAGCTGGGTTGCTGCTACCTGGTTAAACTTGTATTGTTGCAATCGTAGTAACCAACGTTCTATCCGGAGTGGTGGTTTGGACTTTGGGCTGTAAATGACTTCCAATGGTTTGTGGTCAGTGATGAGGTCAAATTGTGTTCCAACAAGGTAAAGATGAAAACGTTCACAACCCCACACTGCAGCCAATGCTTCTTTTTCGGTCTGCGAGTAGCGAGCTTCCACAGGCGTTAGGGAACGGCTAGCATACGCTATGCAGCGATCTTGCCCATTTTCTTGTGTTTGGGCTAATACTGCACCAAGTCCGACAGGACTTGCACCCACTGTCAATTTTGTAGGTCGATTTGGATCATAAAATGCCATCGTACAGTCCGAAGCAATAGCATTTTTAACTTTGGCGAAAGCTTTCTCATGCATAGTTGACCAAGAACATTTACACGATTTTGTTGTTAATTCACGTAGAGGGGCTGTTAGAGTGGAGAAGTCCTTAATAAATCGTGAACAGTAATTGGCCAGACCTAAGAAACTGCGTAGTTGGCTGACATCTGCTGGTGTTTTGAAATTTTTAATTGCCTCGACTTTCTTTGGATCTGCTGACAGTCCGTCCTTTGACAGAATGTAGCCATAGAACCAAAGTGACGGTTGATTAAACTTGCATTTCTCCAGGTTTAATGTAAGTTTCTTGACAACTAATCGCTGTAACAGTGCTTCTAAATTCTTGTCATGCTGGGTTTGGGTTTTACCCCATACAATAATATCGTCTGCGATATTTCGTACCCCGTGTAGACCTTGGAGCGCTTGCTGTATTGCATTTTGGAATACTTCTGAAGCACATGACAGACCAAATGGCAGGCGTTTATACCGAAACAACCCCTTGTGTGTGCAAAAAGTGGTAATGTTACGCGAGTTCTCTTCTAGGACTATCTGATGGTATCCTGCTTTGAGGTCTAGCTTAGAAAACACGACAGCACCAGACATTTCTTCCATTAACTCATCAACTGTTGGGATTGGATGTCTCTCCCTTAACAATGCCTGATTTGGTCTACGGTAATCTCCGCATAATCTAATTTCATCTGAATTGTGTGGTTTGGGAGCAGCTACTATGGGTGATACCCATGAAGTAGGTCCTTCGGCAGATTCAATAATATCGAGACTTTGTAATTCTTCTAGTTTATCTGAAACTTGCTTTCGTAAATGGAAAGGGACTCTCCGAGGGCGTTGTGCAATAGGGGTAACTGTACGATCAGCATGCAATGACTGTTCATAATTTTGCAAACACCCTATTCCGTCAGAGAGTTCTGGAAATTTATCTAAAATTTTCTGTGTATTAATGTCAATGTTTTTCATGCTATTTCTGTCCCTTATTTCTCGATTTCCGGAGTCACTTTGACTGTTCGCGTCACTTCCGTTTGAGTGGCTTTAGGTGTTGATTTCATTCCTACCTCGACTTCCGGTTGTTTTCATGCTATGAAATTTAGAGACTTCGTTAACTTTTATTTTTAAAATGCCTAACTCTGCGGCTGCTTCATTACCGAGAAGTGATCCCGCTTTGCCGTTGACAACATAAAACGTCGATATTGTACGCTTTCCATTCGATTCAACCGCTAAACGACACATTCCGAGCAATGGCAAGGGCTGAACGGCATTATATGCATATATATTTGTTTGTGTTGGCTCTAATGGTACATGTTTATTTCTTTTCCTAATACAAGCGAATGCTTCACTATCAAGAATATTTGTCGTCGCTCCTGAATCGATAGTCACAGCGATAGGGGTCCCATTGGTCTGTATTTGAATGTTAGTTATTTTTGATGATGAAACAGCAAAAGTATACTCATCGTCAGACGAATTAGGAGGGCTTTGTTTTTGGGTTTGTTGTTGTGCAACTCAAACAGGCTCTCTCGAATCTTTCTTACTATCTTTCGGCGGATTTTTTCGACTTCGACAAACTCTAGCGAAATGATTGAGCTTTCGACAAACTCTACAGGTTTTGCCCTTCGCAGGACAGACATCTTTATGCCCTTGTTTAAATTCATTTCCACAATTTCGGCATTGATTTTGTTTGTGTGGTTTTGGTACATATTTAGCATGTCTTACCTTGTCTTTAGCTTCGTCATTTCCCTCGTCTTTTACACGATTAACATTGTTCCGAGAATTATTGTGTCCCGAGATATTCGACGCTTGTTTTTCTGCTAATTCCTTCGCTCGCGCCATGGTAATAAGCTTAGCCAATGTCAGATCTGCCTCGCGTAAAAGCTTCGTACGAAATACATGAGACGAGCATGTCATAACAAACTGATTGCGTATTTCATTCTCGGCGCTTTCGAATTCACACGTTTCGGCTAGTGTACGTAGACGAGTTATGTAGCTATCTACCGATTCTCCAGGCGTTGGATGTGTCTGTTTAAACACATAGCGTTCATATATTAAGTTCTTTTGTGGCTGAAAATATTCGTCGAGCTTCTCTAGAGCTGTTTTGAAATCTGTCCCGGTGTCTTGTAGTGTTTTGAATATTTTATGAACCGACGGGCCAGCTACATACAATAACACTGCGCGTTTCTGTGCATCATCCTTGATGTTGGCAGCTACTGTATACATATTAAAACGTTCTCGCCATTCTTTCCAGCGTTGGGCTAGCGAGGAATTATCACCCTCTGCATCAAACGGAGGTGGTGGTTTTAAATCCAAAGTTGTGGCCATCGAGATTTCTTCTGTGTTCACTTCTTCTTCGTTTGGGTTCAGCATTAAAATAAACTCGTCGCCAAATATAATGTATCTCTTTAGTACAAGCTGTACAGTATAAAAATGTACTTTATTGCCTTCAATATCAAAACCCTATTTTCTTACACGTGGTCTCTTTCTGATACCTAAATATATATTACATCACGTGACATGACGTGACTACATTACATGTACAACACCATGCACACCAGTGACTGAAAAACAACTGACATTGGTTGAATGTGATGATGTCCAAAATGGGGTTATTGTGGAACTAAAAAAACAAGAATCTTCAAATGATGCAGATAATGACTCTCTGAGTGATACCGGTTCTTCATATTGTCCTTCAGCTGATGATGATGACTCTGAAACAGATGATGAATATTCCAGTGATACTGCACCTGCTGTGGAAAAAAAATTATTGTATTTGAAAGTCAGTTACATAAACTAGTCAAAATTTGTCAACATTGTGGTAGCCCCATTGATACTACAACTCAAATAAATCGGGGAAGTATGGTTATAATTGCTACAAATTGTTTGAATGGACATACTGTATCCTGGCAATCACAACCACTAATCGAAGGAACTGCAGCAGGAAACATTTTGATACCAGCAGCTATTTTATTCAGTGGAAACACCTATAAACGCACTGTAAACTTTGACAAGTATCTCAACCTTCAATTTGTTTCCACCTCCCATTAATATACTACCCAGGCTACCATTCTTTTCCCAGCAGTGCAACATACATGGATAACAAGCCAGAATGCACTGGTAAAGAAGTTAAAGCAAAGCGACAGTGCGGATGTATGTGGTGACGCGCGGTGCGATAGTCCTGGGCATTCTGCTAAATATGGCACATATACCCTGATGGATGAGAAAACAAACTTGATAATTGAATTTAGCCTTGTTCAAGTGACAGAGGTAACATCGTCTAATGCAATGGAATATGAAGGCTGTAAGAGAACACTAAATTCAATTATCAAGAAGAAGATTCCAATCCGATGTCTTACAGCATATCGTCACACAACAATCACAGCGAAGATGAGGACAAACTATTCAAACATTGTTCACCAGTATGATGTGTGGCATCTTAGTAAGTGGGTGACCAAAAAGCTGTCAAAGAAGGCAAAAAAGAAAGATTGTCAAGAGTTACTGCCATAGATCCAGAGTGTTTCCAAACATTTATGGTTGTGCTCTGTAACATGCGAGCAGAATGCAGATGTCCTGAGGGAGAAATGGTTGCCTTGTTGCATCACATCGCTGGTAAACACTGTTGGAGGGCTTCCAAGGAATTTACATTAGTTATAAAATGTGGCCACCTTAGAATAAGTAGAAAAGACCAAAACGAGATTGTATGGGTTGAAAATGGTTCCCCTGCTCATGTTGCTTTGGAGGAAGTCATCACAAACAAAAAGCTGCTGAAAGATCTGGCAAAGCTAACAGAATTCGACAACACTGGTGAGTTAGAGTCATACCATTCCCTTATGACAATATATGCACTTAAACGTGAGCACTTTTGTTATAATGCAATGGTGGCTCGAACTCAGCTAGCCGTCTTGGACCACAATGCCAATGTGAACAGAGCCCAGGCAGAAGTGAAGAAAGGATCAAAGCAAGGCAAGAAAAGGTTCAAGATTGTTTGTGGCAAGCAGAGAAAGAACTGGGTGGCCAAGGAGATTAAGACCCCAAAATCCTACAGCTATGTTGAGGGCATGATGAATGATGTAATCCTGTGTAAGAAAGGCAAAAAATTCAAATACAAGCCAAAAATTCAAGCAAAATGTATTGCACCAACTCCTAAGCCACCAAAACAGGATGTCATTGAGAAGCGGCTCAGTAATAAACAGAAGTGACAGACATTTTGAATATATGAACTGGGAGTTTATGTATTAAAGTTGATAAATATGTCAAATACCTCACATTTTTTAACACAGAACAATCAAGTTATTCATCAGCAAAGCGAAATCCAACAAACTCAAAGTCATCTTCATCACCTGGAGGTGGAAAGTGGGCTCGAATGCAACTAACAGCACAAGATGGAAGAACAACTCGTATTTCTTTCCCAACTACTCCCCAACACCATCGCACTAGCTGGCGGTATGCGACATGGCGAGAGATTTTGTGCTCAGGACCTTCATATGCTGTACTTCCATACTGCTGTTTATAATCCAACCAAGCAGCCTGCAAAACCCACCTATCTAAACAGACTGTATGGAAACCTGGATTATCTGTTATGCAATTATATGGCAGGGTTGGCTTTGTGTATTCCATAACTTCTTGATTTTTATTAGCGACCTGTTCAATTTCATGACAACAGACGCATTCTTCCTCTCTATCCATTATCTGACAATGTTCACATAAACACCTAACAATAACAAATACTTATGCTGGGAATGACATAATTCAAGAACACGAAAATTCAATTCGTCAATATAAACCACAAATTATGATGTTTTACCAGTCAAGATTACCCAAACGAACGAACGATTCTTCCTCGTCAATCGACATACTTTGGTCGTCTTCATTGTCAGCTAATTCAGCACTGACGCTGTTGGTATTTCGTCTAGGTTCAAACTGGTAGCCCAGGACTTCGCCCCCTTGTAAAATATTCCTATGAAATTCATCTAAACTCTCACCTGAAGAACTTGAAGTTCTTGAATCCGATGAACTATCGCTCGATGGACTTAAAACATCGATATTCATGATGAAATCAAATGTAAAACACTAGCAATGCGAGAACAACAACACTTCAGAAGCACGCAATGACGTCACAAATAAGGGCGCTGACCAAATTCGCGCCTGCACGTAAAAGAACAACATGGCGTCGAAATTTGCAAAATTCGCGAACTTTGATGAGCGATTTCTCCTTTACTAAAACGATTTGGACCGAGATACTTCAGGAACAATCTATTAAAGGTATAATCTTTTATTTAAACTCAACTTGTTTTGGGACTGGAGTTCCCCTTTAAAAATCACTTGAACTGTAGAAGTCGTAAGTTGCAATGACCTTTCAATGCCTGAAGGTCCTCTCCCAAAAATATTAATTTTTGAAGCTCGATTACTGCTTTTTAAGGGCATATATTCGGAACTTAAAGTCGTAATTGTACATTATATTTTAGAACGGTCATATAGTGAATATGGATTTAGAACTTCACATTTTGTGTAAAGTTTCCACAATGATAATAATAACTGAACTCGACTCAAGCACATTTTTCCATGCACAGTCAAGAATTCAAACCCCAAAACCTGGTGTCTCGCAAGTGGTCCACGAGAGTGGCCCACGGGAGTGGTCCACGGGAGTGGTCCACGGGAGTGGTCCGTGGTCCACAAAGGTAGTCCATGGACCAGGTCCACGAAGGTAGTCCACGGACCTGGGGTCCGCGTTTTGTCGTTTCCCCATTAAAGATGTATTTGCATCTTGCTATCGGTTATGGGAAGAGTTTAATATTCCAAAGTTCTAACACCGAGAGTAGCACGACGACTTGGCAAAAGCCACAATTTTCTGGAGAAACCCATCTTAATAGTCATTTGCAAATTGAACTCTTTCATTGACACTCACGTCCGTGAACTAAGAAAGCGTGGATGCCGTGTTACATCACTGTCAAACGAAGAGGACGAGAAAGCAATACTAGATGGAGAGTTTACATTCGCATTTTGTAATCCCGAGTCTATTATTCGAAATGCGAAATGGAGAGGAATGGTTTCATTTGAAATCTACAAGACAAATTTGCTTGCTTTTGTATTAATTACAGACAAAGTTCACGTCGGCCCAAAGAGGTGTGTTTAATAAATTTAAATACAGCTTTTTTTGAATGTATATTGCAGGATTAAATTGCAGGATTAAATTGAATGTATATTGCTAGATTAAAGTGAATGAATATAAGTATATATTTATATTAAATTGAATAGATGTGATATTTTAAATTGAATGAAATTCAGGAGAATGAATATTGCTACAAATGGGCAGGCATACACTGGACAGTAAACATGCGATATTAAAACCCTGTCTAGACGGCCTGGCGTCAAGGATAATGATTGGATAATATTTTTAGAATATGATGCATTAAGCCATTATACATTTTTTGCATTCTTTATCCGAACCAGGAATCGCTAACAAATTCACCAGAGGTTTTTTCCTTTTTCTTCGCGCGTTTTCTCGCATTTTGCGTTCGCCAAACCTAAACAAACCTCTGGGCCAGGGTACGGGCGTTGTGAAAACAATGCCGGAATATCACGGAATATGGCGGAATGTCACGGAATATGGCGGAATATGACGGAATATCACGACATTTTACCGGAATATACTGGAACATCATGATATTTCCCGATGGTAGCTACGCGACTGTTAATAAACATGGACGTCTGGACAACATGTTTTATTACAAAAGTGACGGATCTTTCCCATTTTGACTGTAATGTATTATATCATTATTACGAGTGTTCACCTAAAATTTTGAATCCTCCTGAGTGGTAGTCTCCTACGCATACCTACTTAGCGGGCTGGGCCCTCACGTAAGGTATGCTTACTTTGGCCAAGAATTCCTTTCCTCAAAATTAGCCAATCACAGCTTTACCCACGAAAATTGTGGGGCTTGACCTTTGACTATGCCTTTGACCTTGAGGATTGGGTCGTCAAAAGTTTCAAAAAGTTTAATCTTGAACATTTCATATCTTCATTATTTTGTACGTATATTCATATCTCAAACCGATTATATGCGAGAGCTGAGAGATATATTTGTTATACATATACCAGTCTACAAATTTACAATACGGAACAATTGTAAAATCTGTTAGAATTTGTCGAGCTATTGTTTTGAACAGACAGTGTAGTAAAATCGAACAATATCACCTAAAATATTTCGCGATGTTTTGATTACTTTACAAGCGTTTGCAGGTGTTACTGTAACACGGGTAATATACTGGACAAAGACGTCAAGGCAAAGTTATAAAGTTACAGTGTACATTTATACTGCGGGTGTAGATAATAGATTTATAAGTACTAATTGAAGACTACAGAATTCTCGACAGAATTCAGCCTATATAAAATACTGAATTGATTCATTGCATATTTCGGTTTCTAAGTTTGTATATGACTAGCCAGTTTATAAAGTTTAACAAAATCGTAATTACAAAAGTCGCTCTGATATTGAACGTTCGGAAACTTAGTACTATTTACAACATGAGCGGCCGTGTTGTATCGGATATACAAACTCGAGTCGAAAACGACTCATCTTAATATGAGTTCATTGGCGAAGTAATTATAAAAATAAACGTTGTCTAAGCCGAGAAAATCAAAGTTAAAGTTTATGTAGATCAACATGAATCTGTATCACATATACAGACTCCTTCACGCCCATGATTTCTTTTGTGTTTTCTTCATCAATTATTAATGAGTTTTTTAATAGTATATATTGAATATACATGCCGCCACGCAGTCGCGTCAAGTTCAAAACAAGTATTACCAGTGAATAGTTTTATATACATTTAAGCATTCGACCTATCGCGTACATTCGTTGGAAAAATATTCAATATTTTCTACTTTGACTGCTATTGATCAGAAAACTCGACCTGTTCACATTTATGGCCATTTAAATACGTATATACCGTATTATTATTCGATTATCGCACGCTCCTTGTTTACAAGTTTTATACAGTTGACATTCAAAGTGGGCGTGTCTTGTGCATTTGAATGCTATTGGCTAATGGAATACAATGGGAAGGCGAATTGCTAGCGAAAGTAAGCAGACCGTACGTGGCGGGCCCAAACCCGCTAAAGTAGGTCTGCATGCATAGGAGACTAACTGAGTGGCAGCGTCTTGAAAAATAAAAGTGCTGACGTCAGCATTATTTTCCAACGTGCCTTCAGAACTGTGTTAAATTTAATTAAAATTCTTGGTTAAAGTTAAGACGTCCGGGACTTCTTACCTGATATACTAACAAGAATTTAAACATCTTGGCTCAAATTTGCGTCTTTTTTAGCATTGATTTTCGGATAAGTGCTTGGTGCTATAGAATTGGTCATTTTATACCACCAAGCATTTATCCAAAAATCAAATGCTAAAATAAAGGCAAGTTTGAGCCAAGATGTTTAAATTCTTGTTTACATCAGGTAAGAATTAAGATTTAAGTCCCGGACGTCTTACATTAACCAATAATTTTTAACTAAATTTTGTCTATAACACAGTTCTGAAGGCATGTTGGAAAATATTGCGGACTTCAGCACTTCTATTTTTCAAGACGCTGTAACTCAGGAGGAATTAATCATATCGGTTCAAAATTTTTCGTGAACACTCATATAATAATGATATAAATAACATAGACTGTTTATTACTTACCGTCAAAATGGGAAAGATCCATCACTTTTGTGATAAAATATGTTGTCCAGACGTCCATGTTTATAAACAGTCGCGTGGCTACCATCTGCCACCATCGGAAATATCGTGATGTTCCAGTATATTCCGGGAAAATGTCGTGATATTCCGCCATATTCCGAGATATTCGGCCATATTTCGTGATATTCCGTGAAATTCCGCCATTCCTAGTTTTCACAACGCCCGTTTTAGTATGATATGTGCGATTTTACTCGGAGTATGCATCCACACCGGGCAAGCTGAAAAGTTTGCTTGGCCAATGTGGGAATCGAACCAGCGACCTTTGGGATACTAGTCCAATGCTCTTCCAACTGAGCTACGTGGTCAAGTCCGTTCAAGTTGTTGATATTTCGGAACTGAATCTAGTTCCTTCGATATCAGTGTAATCTATGATATGATTTTTGTGTGTGTGTTGGTGTTATCATAGTTAATATATATGACATGGTTTGGAAACCCTTTGTTTTAGGTGATTGTGTACCTTGTGCAGGGTCACGGTTGAAAAGGGGGCGAAGCTCACGTCGAAGGCGTGAGACCGTCTACAGGGGTCCGGGGGCATGCACCCCCTGGAAAATTTTGAAATGTAGAGTCCCTGAAATGAGACTTCAAGCATTTTTGTGGTGCAATCTAGCAGAATTCCGAAGATTATAAAGTACATCGAAGACATGAATTTTCCCAGACATTTCTACTCGGAATGAAATAAATTGGAAAAGTCACATTGAAAAACAAGAGGAGGGATCAGTGTGACCTTATTTCCCCTCTGTGATGCTGGGGGGAGAAAATCCCATAGCGATTTGATTAGAAATGTTGCATAAATCATTCTAGGTTCTATGAGACACTATTTCCGCATTCTCAAAATTGGGTTGCTTTTTTATACGATACAGAGATTTTATACGCGACCTTTGGGATACTAGTCCAATGCTCTGCCAACTGAGCTACGTGGTCAAGTCGGTTCGAGTTGTTGATAGAGTTTTAGTATGTCGAAATTTACAATTTGCTTACAATTTAGTAGAACTAAATGGGCGAAGGCGTATTTAATTTACTATATATTGGAGAAGTTGCAGGAAAGAGTATGGGTAATATGATTCTTTACGGTTTGTCATTGATCAGCAATGTAGCCGCTTAAAGGGAAATGGCAATATATTTTTTTATTTTCTCGTTTGAAAGAACATTTAAAACCATATATAAAACTTTTTTACCGTTTTTTCATATCTTGCTTACTTCTACAAATATTTTAATCGAAAGAAATGAAATGTCCGCCATCTTGAATTTTTGTGGATATGCATGTTACGTCACAACAGGGGTCACGCAATATTTTTATCTAGACAACCACTAATCATTTTGCACCCAAAATTATACTCTGTATGCTCTTGGAAATATCAAGATCACTTGAAACGTTTAAAACATCTACCAGTCTATATTTGGTCAGTAACGAATACTTTTATATGGTTAATCCCTGTTGTGACGTCACCAAAACTACCGTTAATGAGATCAAAATTTTATCCAAGATGGCTGACATCTCATTACTTCAAGTGAAAATATTTCAAGAACTAAGCAAGATATGAAGAATCGGTAAAAGAAGTTATTAAATAGTTTCAAAAGTTCTTTCAAATGAGAAAATAAAAAAATATATTGCCATTTCCCTTTAAGACTAATCAATTGTCAGTATTTTAAAGGTATATTATTTAAATGATAAAAGTGTGCGTGATTTTGAAATAAGAATGATTATCGGCAAATTATTGTTACGGCCCTGAGAAGTAATAAACCGAAAAACATTTACCGATTTACGATTTGTTAAATGTTGATTTGTTATAATATTTTCTCTGTTTAAACAACTAAATTTTTGTTATACTATTATTGCCGTAATTTTCCGAATGGCAAACCCGATTTTCCGAATATGTTGATTCTAAAAAAGTTGGAGGTTAACCACCACCCCTCAGCAATACCCCCCTCGCTACGGCACTCTTTCCTCGTGTGGGCAAGGTGTTGATCTGGGTAAGGAAGAAATCATTCAATTGTTCCGTAAACATAATGTCATCACCGGATGAAGTGGCAGATTGATATTGCCAATGGAGTTTGGGGAAGTTGAAGTCTCCACAAATAATTATGTTGATGTAGCGTGAAGAAACGTCTGCTAGGAAAGAGCTAAATTTTTCCAACCAAGATTGATCCGCGTTGGATGGCCTGTAGCAACAACAGATGACGTATTTCAGTTTTGAGCTTGTGACAAGTTCTGTTGATACAACTTCAATATCAGTTTCAATGTTTACATCGCGTGAGGAAATGAAAGAACTCATGCTAGATTTTTATAAGCTACGGGCGTTCAGAACAAGACATGTAGCAGGGAGTTCTTTCGATTTCCGGTTCTTTGGTTCATGCTGCGACTTGGAACTAAACGAGTTAGTTCCACAAGAGCCTGGATCAGTGGCGATATCTCCATCAAGGAGGATACACAGAAGTAGATGTAAATTCTTGTGTTTTATCTCAAGATCCAAACCATACCGGTGTTTACAGGCGTAGTTGGATTTTCTGAAGATATTGTCTCGCGTTAATGTCCAAAGTAAACAAAGTTTATCAGGTATCGTTGTAAGTTCAGAAGCGATGAAAATGTTCTTAGATCTTGGTGTTTCGTCGAAGCGCTCAAGTTCAGGTTTTGATCTTTTAGCCAGACAAATGATTAGGAACAATGTGAAAAGCCAGATTACATATGAACAGCCATCAAGTTTACAATTGAGAACTACAACTATACTGCTACAAAAAAAATTGTTTTGTAAAATTTCCCAATTGTTCGTAAATGTATAATTTTTGCTTTTAATGGCCGCTTGTTTCGATTAGCCCCTATGGTTATTACAGGTGACCAGCACTACACCTATATATCTGCCGTTAGACTCGTGTGCACGCGAGTCGGACGTGTTTTTGTGAGCTCCGCTTATTTTATATTTTTCTACTCATTATCCACATTTAATCTTATCCACATTTTAATATGTTGATACACGATGGTGATACCTATCTTTGGACCGGTTCCTTGGCCGACTAAAAGTGCTTTGTTGATGAAATTTTAAATCTTAAAGGGAAGTGGAGCTCTACGGCAAAGTCTGACCTTGTTGACCTTGTTATTAAATGGTTTGGCTGGCGGTCCCAGAAATTTGTGATTCAAGTAGACAGTGCTGTGAATTTTTTAACACAGACGTTTGAGAGCTTGGTGAACAAGAGTAAAGGAAACAAAGCTGATAGCAAGAATGGTACTGATGGAGCGATTGTTGGCGATGGCGATACAGTACATCCTAATGTACTGGAGGTATGTAAATGTTCCTGCTCCGTTGATCTAGAGGGCCTGAAGCAAGAAATAACCATTTTAGAATCGCGATTATTTGCCGCAATTTCCAAAAATGAGCTTGAGTTAGATATTGATCTGCTCAGAGTTAAACAGAAAGAATCGGAAGCCGCTATAAGACGCCAAGACGATGTGATTTGTACTCTTAACGAAGAGAATCAATTCCTTAAAGCAAGGCTGTTGGCTCTTGAAAAGTCGTTTCTCAAGATAACTTATAATGTCGATACAGACAAAGAACCTGGCTCATCAGTTTACAAAGCCAAAGGTATTGACAAAGCGGCCGCTTTTCATGCCAGTGAACAATCTAACAAAAGTAACCTCAGCTCAATTAACACTGAATTACTTAATACCTCTCATGACAATAGTCTTGCGCGGCATAATAACAACGGACAACGCAATGCCGATGATTTGAAAAATAATCAAATTGACCTTGCAAATGATGATGCTGTGTTTTCCCCAAAACAGCAGAACGAAAATAATACGCACAAAGGCATAAATTCGAACTTGCAATCGGAATCGCAGCAGTCAACCAACATAGAAGGGAATAAACCTAGATATGATCTGTCCCCAAAAACCTCTCATGACAATAGCCGTATTAGATACGATCCATCTCTAAAAACCTCCCATGACAATAGCCTTATTTGGCATAATGACAACAGCCAATGCAATGCCGACGATTTGAAGAATAATCACATTGACCATGATGCTGTGTTTTTCCCAAAACAGCAAAATAAAAATAATAAACACAAAGGCTTAAATTCGAACTTGCAATCGGAATCGCAGCAGTCAATTAACAGCGAAAGGGAAAACCCCGAATACAATCCGTCTCTAAAAACCTCTGTCCCGTGCCCTTTTCTCATACGCTGTGGTCGATGTTTTAAAGGCGACCGATGCGACTTTAAACACCCAAAACCATCTGAAACACGGAAATGCATTATACCATGTCCTTTTCTGCATAAAAGATGGTACTGTCTGAAGAAAAAGATGTGTGATTTTTCCCACGACAAATTAGGTGATACGTAACTCATCCCCCATGCCCTAACCAGGCAATTATGCTTCTCCTGAATCTTTTTTATCCCACCGATTCACCAACCTGTTTCTGCCGCACCAGAATTATTATTACCGAGAACCTTGGAGAAACTTACCCGCATTGAATCCTTTAATGGAAATTCCAACCCCTATATGGTCACAATATCCAAATCCCTATCCTCCAACCATACAGCTCCCAATGAGTTACCCAAATCAGTACCCTTCAACCCTGATGATCACCGCCCAGGCGTTGACAGGTGATTACGATTCATCCAAGTCTGTTTGTCCCTTCCTTAACATAAAACCACTCAACTAAATAAGATACCCGTCAGAATTACTCCATGCACAAGACAGCACAGTCATATAAAATCTCTTAGGCATTGCAGCACTTTGAGACCTATACAAGTAAATAGAACTGCCCCAAGTCAACCACGCTTAATTACTTGTTGCTCAGTGTTGAACGCCAGACTATTGCTAAACCTGATGCTTTTCCTGCTTTGTGGGCACACATTAAGTGCACTAACATAGATGTTTGTTGTATAACCGAAACATGGCTCAAACCGACTATACCTAGCTCCCTCCCTTGTCCTCCCAATTTGTCCATCATTAGAAAGGATAGGCCAAACTGTCGAGGAGGAGGTGTCGTGATCTTATGTAGGAATGATTGGAGAATGCAGCTACTACCTGATTTGGATAATCCATTCGAATGTTTATGGACAAAAATTAAAACACAAAACTCTGAATTCTTTGTTGCAACTATTTACCACCCACCTGACTATGAGTATAATGAGCAAGACCTTATCGAATTCCTTATTGACTCGTGCGAACAACTATTGTTATCTAAACCGAATTCAAATATAATAATTGCTGGTGACATTAACAATTGAAATATTCGATCTGTTCTTAATCAACTTTCATTTACCCAACTCGTTCAGACCCCTACGAGAGGACTAAAAATATTAGATGTCTTTATTACAAATGTCCCAAACACTATTGGAAATCTGTTAAAGTTGTAAAAAGCTTGGTGAGATCCGACCATGATATGGTTATCACATACCCCCGAAACATAGTTAAAGCAATAAGGACAAATTCCTATTTCAGAGATGTGAGACAACATCATCAATTGAATATGCTTCGTGAACTTGAATTTATTGATTGGAACACGATAATTATGAATAGTCATAACCTAGATGAGATAACCCTAAAATGTTATGAAATAATATGGCCAAAATTCGATAAGAGCTTCCCATTAATTAAGGTCAGAACGTCATTACGCGACCCTCCGTTCATGTCTCCTCTTGCGAACCACCTTCTGAATCAAAGGAAAAGAGCCATACAAAACGGAAATACTGAAGCAAATACACGATTGCAAGAAAAAATGTACAAGTTAATTCGGGAAAATCAATTAAGTGCAGTCAAACAGGAGTTTGGCAACCAGAAAACTGGATCGAAAAGTTGGTGGTCTAACGTAAATAGCATTACCTCGAGAAAAAAGAAACAAGATGTATCTGTAAGTGCTTCTCTTAACCCTCGTGAAATTAACAAATATTTTCAAAGTGTGAATACGGACCCAAATTATACGACTCCCGAGCCTCTTCAAATCTCCGAAGGAACAAGAATCCCTTCGTTGTCAATTCATGAAGTTCAACATCTTTTACTGAATCAAAAACGCTCTTTATCATCATCATCATCAATCAATTTTATTTAAAATCAAGAACACGCTAGCCTCGCACAACTAAAAGCTGATTTACAGGAGGGGCGTGATATATAAAACAGTAGAATATATGGAATATTATATGAACCCCCCAACCTCCCCCCAACAACAAATTGAGAAAAATAAAGTCAAGTAAAGTAAATAAAGAGAGTTAACTATAATTAAGTCAACATGGTTCTAAAAGGACAGTTCCGCAATACTACGCTTAAATTGACTGAGTGAAGTCGCTCTTTTTGCATCTAATGGAAGATTATTCCACAGCATTGATGCGCTATATTTAAAGCTTCTCTTCAAAAAATTAGTTTTTGGTTTTGGAAGTGCTAGATCCGTTTCCTGATTTCGTAAATTATGGCGTCTATTAAGTTCACTAAGTCTTA